TGGGTGAAATTAAGAGTATGTCATGAACAGAAGACAAAGAAAACAAAATCTGATTCCCCAACAGAATTCAAACCCAAGACCTCCCAGACCAGATAAGCACTGGTTACTTGTGAGAGCTTTGACTGTGTACTAGAAAACTAAAAACTTAGAAAAGTAAAAGATAAAATTTCACAGGTGTACAGTGTATGGAAATTTGAAAAACTAATATAACAGTTGTCACTGAACAAGGCTTTGCTAATTAAAATTGCTTCTAAATTTTGAATTACAGGTATATATTAACTAATGATCCTTCACCTTTTCACAACCCTTGATAGATGCAAAATAAATTTATTGGCAAATAAAAATAGCTAACTTTTTAAAACAAATTAAAACAATTAAAACAAATACACATAACTTTTTTTTGACACTTACTTTTTGTAGTAGAATAAAGCACCTGTTTAGTATGATGGTGTTTCTACTTCTGCAACAGTACTGTACTGGTAATTATTAAAACTTAGTCTAAATATTTTAACAGAAATGCTGGTGCATACCTTGTCTTGTGTTACAAAATGTGGATCCCTGGCATCAGCAGACCAGTAGGAGTGATCAAAAAAGAATTCCTTCTTGAAATCACGAGCCTTATCCCCTTCAAGTCCTATCTCACCATAAAGCTAAAATTGAAAAGAATTAAATATATTCGCCATTGTATCAAGGTGCAAGCTGCAACTATCATGTGCTAGCCCAAACTCATTCTCACCAGCTCCCAAAAAAATTTTCTCTTCACAGAAAATCAGTAATCTGGATGTCTTAAAAAAAATTCCCAAGAAACTTCACTTGCAAGCCTGACCAGGGGGGAAGTGGGGTGGGGGGAAAGTTTCTTGAGAAATGGAATCCACAAGCAAAATACCTAGCCCTGTGCTATACATTGGACATGACTTTCTATGCACACTGGGTATGTAGACAAAACAATGAAAAAATGTAGGACATTGTATATAGTATGTGTTCTAAAATTAATACTTTAATAATGTAGTTAATACCAACAAGTTAAAATAAGTAATGTACATGTACTGTTTGTTTGAAATTAATAAAAAAAAAACCCTCCAAAATTAACAGCCATCCAAATGTAGCAGCTTACAGTTAATACAAATTGCCTTGTTGTGTTTCTCAGCGGGAATAACAGAGACAATAAGCTGCATCAAAGTGACAGTATATTTGCTCCAGATTCCAGGCCCAATATAAGACTCTTTTTTGTTAGCAGTGTGTGGCGAAGGAATTAAATGTGACACTTGATGTGACACCATGTGTTACATGGTGTGTGAATTTATGAACAAAAACATAGCTAAAATTCCTCCTTTGCTACCCTCATGGAAGACAAATTATTCTTGACAATAATCTCCAACATTATTCATCCTTTTTCATGTCTAAAATTTATAACAATTTTAGCCTGCACATGTATATGGAGTGAAATACATGGAAAATGAGGTCATAAATAGACTGGCTAAGAGATGTTGACTTGATACTACATGAAATTCTCAGAACATTGAAAAAACTATATGGACATGCAGTGAGGGGAATTCACTTGTTTTTTTGAGCTTGAGACTGTTTTCTTGCAAATAAAATGATTACTTCATTCTGATTAGCTAAGAGCAATGCAGTGAAAGTGTCACACCTGTGCAAAAAGAGTAACATGAGAGCAAAGCTGTAATACAAGAAACAATTACAACAAAGAATTCCAAAGTTTGTCATGAAGATAATATTTAAAGCTTGTTGACGATCATCTGAGGTATTTTGAAGGCAGTCAAAGTTCACCTAAGGTGTTTGAGGATAAACCGAGGATAATTAGTCGTTTTCAGAACACTTCCAAAGACTACCTAAGCCCCTATGAAGATTTTTGAAGAGTTCCAAAGACCACCCAAAGATTTTCAAACACAATCAGAAGTTTTGCAAATAATTTTCTATTTTTTATAGTTTTTTCGGAGTTGGAAATTATGAACACTATGCAAAAACTGTAAATTTATCAAATGCTACAAATTGGACTTGCTCTGACTACCAGCTCATGCAATTTTGTTAGCCTTTGAAAAACTGACTCATGCTTATTTATTCCAAACGGCACTTGCAATCATGCGAGTATCATGATTACCTATACTTAAGGCCAATTAAAAGGAATAAAAATGCACAGTTGGAAAACACAGTCACACATAAACACAGTATAAAATACATTTACGCTAAACCTAGTAAAATCATAAGACCAAAATGAATACGTTTTTAATTTCAAATTTTTCAAGATGGTACTAAGTGTCTAGTAACCTACAGTTTGGTGGCAAAATCCTTGACAAAAGGAAACCTGCCCAATGCCATTAGCATTTATCATTCACTTATTGTCAGCTAAACCTCAAGGTTATATGAAAAGTAAAAATATGTTTATTAACAATGCCCATGGCTGAACTTCGCCCTTTGGACTCCAAATTACAACTGTTAAAATGAGAGGTTATTATTCTTTGCTAAGTATTTTTTAACAAAACAAACAACTTGAACACATTTAACCTTTCGTAATTTTGGCCTAAGTGGAAGGAATTTGAGTTTTTTTTTTAAGATAACTCTTTATTAGCTTTGTAACAAAAATAAGGCAATGTATATTTTTAACCATGAAAAAAATTATTCTATTTATGAATAATGGCAGTTGTTTACGCGTAAATTGGGTGCAATATTCACAGCATGAAGAAAAATTCCTTGATTGAGCACCTTTTCTCAAGACAACAAAGCAATTAAAATGAATTATACAAAGAAAGTTTATGCTACAGTAGTTTAAGAATTTTGCTCCACTAAAGAATAAATGGAACTTCTAGGAAATAATACCAAGGTCACGATATGTAAAATCCGCGAAATTAGAAGCGAGATCTTGTCTCGTCGACTCGCGCGAGTCTTTCATCGACACAGTCAGTATTCGCCAGGTTTTGCGAAAACGTAGTGTGAATGAACATAATTTTATTGCTCAAGACATCGTTCTTGGTTAAGTCTTAGGCCTTGCATAAATAGGATGCTGAATAGATGACAAATAAACCGAAGTCAAATCAATAAAGACACGAGGTACTTGAAAACGTCTATCAAGTCTTTTCAGACATTCTTAGCGCGATCACGAGAACAGGTACGGAACTTTGATATTCGCACGGGGGCGTCCATCACGCAGATTTCATTGACAACAAGTTAATATCATAAACTTTTTAACAAAGAGACAAACCAATCCTCTGGTTAACCTCTTGCCAGATAAAATGCTACCGAGGGTAAAAAATTTAACTCGAGCGTTCGCAATATGGCAGAGAGACCGTGTTTACATAACTTGTGCTACATGTAGGCTTCTCAAAATAGAACCGATTTAGCGATAACGAAAATGTAAGAATACGCCATAAATCGCACATCTAACAAAATCAAGTTAGATGACTGTCAAGGACGGTGTTAGAAAAAATTGAATTAAAGTCACGGTGATTGAATAATTTTGCTAGATCATGCAGCTAACGAAATAAAAGCTTGAAGAGCTTACCTTCGTGTTGAATATTGTTGTTTTCTGTCCTTCCATTTGAATAATACATTTGGATCCGAGCTCCAATTCCCTGTTGAACAAAGAAGGCAAAGAAGTTCTTATCTCGTCTTCAATGATGTTACATGCACACTGTGTTACATCAAAACATATCCCACTGATGAAAATATTAGTAAAATAACGGATCATAATATTTCACCTGTTGTTCAAGGGCCGAGCGCGCACCGCCACTTTCAGCGAAGCCATAATGGTCTTATAATGAAGAAAGCGAACGACTTCGGTTCCTTCGATTTAGCAGTTCTTGCTAGTGAGTGATCACCATGGTGTGGGTTCTGAAGAGTTTCCTACAGTTCCAAATAGCAGCATTTTAAACCTATAGGTCGGAGTAAACACTCCCTATAACCTCGAGTAACTCAAGCGCTTCTCTTTCAAATCTTCGTCGACTCGACTGCTCAGTTAGACTTACAATAGCTGTTTGTTCATTTAAAGTCACGATGCGCGGTACTGGTAGAGAAAATGTTAATCTCTTAATGACGGACTCTTGTTATTGTAGAAAATGTCTTGCAAAATCTTTCAGCGCAAACATCAGGTGCTTCTCCCGTGAAAGATGAAAATCGAAAGAGTAGTGTATGGCGTTACACAGCAGCGGAAATGGGAGATTTCCGTCTCTCAAAACCGTTTCTTTGTAAGGAAATGGTGTTCTAAGGCAGGACAGGAAAGGTTGATGTTATTTCCTGTGATGAAATCGTGGATGAAGTTCCAGTCCTACGATAAATCTTGATTTCAAGCGCTTCGAGGGCGCGACCTCGTGACAGTATCATTTCAAATTCAAGGGAAGTGGCTAAATATTTATTCCAGTCCCTCGGCTTGGCCAATGACAACAGAATTTATAATATCAACAGCCAATAAGAATTGTTGTTTTTCGAAGATTCGATTCATCTGGAAAAGCCCGCCAAATTTATGTACTGCTCAGGTAAATATCCAGTGAATATCAGTGAAAGACTTTTAGAATTCTAGAAATGTATAGAAACCGTTCAGTTTTAATTTATATGAATTTTGATGTTTTAGAGCGATATTTTGAGTGCCGCGCCAGGAATTAAATTCTGCCACTTTTGATCTCAAGAAAATGACCCTTCGCAAAGTGATGACTGATGTGTAAAAAATAATCCCTCACGTTTAGCATCTTTAATTCCATCCTTTCCAGATCACAGAAGACAGACAATAACGAATAGACTAATTCTCGACCTCTGTTGCTATCGTGTAGAATTCTCGCCGTGCTTGTTTTCAAAACTTCGAAATTATACAAGCAATGCCAAGCACTTTTATATTTGCTTATTTCCGTTTGTTAAAAAAAAATAAAACCTCCGATGGTGTTGACGTACCTAACGTACATATCTTACGGAAATACCATCTAATCGCTTTTTTTATCTGTCTATAGAAATAGGCTGTCTCCTCTCTCTACAACGTGTTACAAGTTTCAATCTGGTATCGTTAATGTGAAATGTTTAAAATTCGAACCTTAAAAGAGATCTGGAAATATTTCGTTACGTAATCACCAAGAAAAACTTATTACAAAAGTTGTATCACAATTGAACTAGTTTATTCTGGAAGTCGTTTTAATTTGAATAATGATTTAAGCGTTTGATGCAGCATTTTGTTTTTTGCTCGAAGTTAAAAGAGAGGTAGTAAGAACTAGGCCATTCTATTACTCGAGGTTCTCACAAATTACCATTGAGCACGAATCGACTGAGGCCAGTTTTGCAGTACCGTGATCTGTATTTTATCAGCTGTTATTTTCCATGAATAAAATTAAAATACTGGTTGAAGAGACTGCATAAAGCCACTATCAGGCCAAGGGCATTGTTTGTTATTTTTCGTGCGGCTACGTCATTCAACGTAACTTCGATTCGAGCACCTTTGACTTCAAAATGATTGGGTAAAAAGCACTTCTTAGTACACCACGGTTGTTTTAGTTCCCGCTCACTGCTTATAGAAATTGACTCATATTGTAACTCGGCATTCATTATGAAAGATAAATTTGAATTCAGGCTGAAGCAACGATGTATGCAGAATGAAATCAAACCGCGCCACAACAAACCAATCTGTCTGCAAATTAACAAGTTTTTATACATCATTATTCACGGACTCATTTTCGCTTGATGAGTGTTCTTTAATTAACAAGGTGTAGAATAGCGAAAAACTTATGAATGCAGCAGGTAAATTTTCACGAGATGAATCACACTTTCAGTTGTCAAGGATATTTTGGTGCGTTTAATATATTTTGGCGAATCTGAAATAACTAAAAAAGAGAAGTACGTCAGTCAGTTAAAAATATATTCGCTATCTGACAGAGACATTGGTCGGTTCGATGTTGAATGATTTAAACTTTACTCAGTTTTGAAAAGTTTATTTATTTACTTATTCATTTATGTATTTCTTGTTTATTTCCACGGTGCGCAATACTGGCTTCGAAGATGCCAAGTTGGTTTTGCCAGCTTTATAAAACATTATCGACCAATGTATGCGATATGAATAAGTTGTTATATATCACTAGCTTTAAAATTTCCTCTTTTC